GCTTCAACAAGGTTCCCGAGGGTTCCTCCAGATCCAATAGGATTAGGTCGGGCATGTCCTCCTACCGGCGGCTTTTGGAAGAACAACTTTTTCAAAATAGTCAAAACTATAATGGTCGAAAATGGTCGAAACTTCGTCCCCAGACTATGGTTCCACTATTCTTGAACACTCCTCCTGTAGAGGGACGCGCCCGACCTCACCATAGGATCCCGCAGCAACCTCCCCGGGTCCCCACCCCCCTCACCTCGAGGTGCGCCGCACCCCCTCCCCAGAGGCTCCCTGGGCGACCCGGCTCATCCCAGGCGCTCTCCAGGGCGCCTGGGACGGCCTTCGAGACGGCCCAGAGGCGGACCGCCAAGGCCGCCAACCCAGACCTCCGACGTCGTGCTTTTGTTCGCCGCGTCGACCCCTCGAGGTCTGGGCCCCTTCCCCGGGACCGGTTCTTCGTCCTGACGTCCTGAGTCGTTTCTTGACGCTCCCGGGGCCCGGCGAGGGCTCCCAGAGGCCGGAAATGGCGAACAAACCTCCCGCTGCGATCTCTTCACGCCGCGAGGGGGTCTGGGGACGGTCCAGGCGGACCACCAAGGCCGCCAAGATGGTCCAAAACGCCCCTGAGGCGGCCCAAGATGGCCCAACTGGGATGGGCGTGGGGGCTGCTAAGGGGATGGGGGGTGACCAGCGGATGCCAAAGGGGCTATGCCTGGCCCAGCCCAGTGGGGGCACGCATGCCCCAAATGGCTCAGGGACATTTTACTCGCAGGGGGATCCCACAGCTCCGCTAAGTGGACGGAGCCCACCTGGCCTGGATCGCCATCCCCCCCCCCCAGCCACTCGGGGCATGTGTACCCCACTACCTTGGCGTCCACTGCTGGCCCCCGCGCCCAGGCCCATCCCAGAAGATGGCCCCAAAAGAGGCCCCGCAAAGCGGCTCCGAGCGGCCCCACGAGGGCGGACTCCGAAGGCGCCAGACGGCCCAGGAGACCGCCCACGTATACGTTCCCGGAGCACCGCGAGAGGCCGAGCGGACCCTCCGGGTGCCCTCGCCGGGCCTCGGGAGCGTCAAACGATGATTCAGGATGAAAGACCTGTCCCCGGGAAGTGGTCCAGGCTCCTGGGGGCCACGTCATGAGAGTATCCTGACGTCGGGGGTGTGGGGAGAGAGGGATAGAGAGAGAGAGAGAGAGACTCCCCGACACGACGCGGCAAGGCGTATAAACATTTACGACTCTCCCAAGCCTCGGGGCACGACTTGCCACACGCTGCGGCCTCCCGTGCGCTCCTCTCGGGCCGCCGCCACCCAGAGGTGCTGGGCAAGCACGGTGGCGGGCCTTGCCGCGGGCAGCCAGACGTGAACGCCACAGGGCCAGTTCGCCGGGTTTTGGGGGGGAGGGCTCCCCGCGGAGCCAAGAGACGCGGCGGGCAGACGTCAAGCAGCTCGAGCAGTACGGGCAGGCGGGCACAAGGAGAGCAGTTTTTGATCGGGGGGGGGGGCACAGGGAGCGGGAGAGGAGGGGAGACACGGTGAGCAGACGCAGGTTCCATTGGCAGGGCCAGCAAGGCAGGACGCGCGGGGGGGGAGAGAAGCAGCCAGGGCCCCGCAGGCGGGGACCCTGCTGAGCTAGGGCGGGGCCACACCCGTGGGCCGAGCCGCTCTCCACTGTCCGTGCCCTCCCGCCCGAAATTCCAGAGTCCTGGCCTGCCGTGCCTCGGTGCGCTCCCGGCCCCGAGGAGCAGAGCGCTGTCGGGGCTGCCCGCTGCCACGTGGATCCGGCACGGATCTCCACGCAGAGCACGTCGGTGGGCGAAGACGTGGCCGGGGCACCGCGCCGAAAAAAGGTGCCCACGCCGGCCCGCCCCGCACACGGACGGAGCGAGGCTGCTCGGGCCCCCTCGTGCTCGTGCCGCCGGACGCGGTGGCTCTCGGATCTCCGCGCTCCGAAAGTTCGTGTCTACGAAGTGTCTGCTGACACGACCGTTTCAATGACACGCCGCCGCGCGGAATCAATCATTACGACACTGTTGGCGAAGCGCCACAAATTCTGGTCAAGACCGAAAGCATGGCGCGCTGACGGGCTCCCGACGGCGGCGTGCCATTGACTCTATGTTCTCTCCCGAGTCGCGCCTCTCCTCCCCTCGCGGCGCCATCGACCGTCATGCTAACTGATGCCAAATGCCCGTCTGTCTGTGCCATACGTGCCGTCTGTGACCGCTGGCGTTTCCCTCTATGCTGTCATGTCCGGCTTATCCTTCTCTCCGTGTGTGTCTCTCACGCTCTCTCTCTCTCTGTGTCTTTCCCGTGCTCTTTCTCTCACACGTATATCAGTATCTGGTTGTTTGATCTGTCGTTCTCCCTGCCTCTGTCTGTCAATATATCTGTCTGTCTGTCTGTCTGTCTGTCTGTCTCTCTCTCTCTCTCTCTCTCTCTTTTTATCTCTCTCAATCAGTGCATCCGCCCGGGTGTCCGTCGCCGTCGTCTGTTCATTCTACTCGCTGTCAACAGGACTACTGGTAGTCACAACACCAGACAGCGAATACGCCCAGCGAGTCCCGAGAGGCGGCAGTACGGCGCGGAGGCAGAGCTCGCTGAGGGCCGGGCTCTGCACATCAACGATTTGTCGACAGTACCGAGTCAGACATTTGACTCGAGTTTGAGCCGTCGGCGGGCGCGGCAGGAGAGCGAAGTCAAGGCGCACGACGCATTCAAAGAAGATCACCAGGGTGTGTGTGTGTGTATGTGTATGTTTGTGTATGTCTGTGGTGTGCGTGTGTGCGTGTGTGCGTGTGTGCGTGTGCGTGCGTGTGCGTGTGTGTGCGTGTGTGTGAGTGTGTCGCTCGTACTCCAGAAGGGTCCACACGGGCGCCGCGCCATGGTGTGCGTGCCCACCAGAGCACTTCAGTACTACGCAGGCAGTGTGATGAAGCCCGCCCCAGGCTGCGCGCTACCGGCGGAGCTGCGCAGGGTAGGTGCACAGAAGGCTAGCATGCGTCCTGAGGATCATCTGCGTCAATGGGCGCAGGGCCAGAATGCGAGGGAAGAATGAGACACGAGACGATTCTACGGCAATTCATGGGAACTCAATATCGCCCAACATGGTTCAATCTAGAACGCTCAGAGTCATTTTTTCTGGAGGCTGTCCTTGGTCTCGCGAGGGCCATGCAAGGGACCGAATGGGGGCCCCGATAGATCTGTTCCGAATCTTGGCTCGAGCGCTATCAGGAGAAAAATCATCTGAGCGTAACCCGTGAACGCCCAAGGTGCGCCCTGGAATTCGGCAGCTTCAACTCACAACCCATTCTGATGTAACTGGACAGCGGGTACATCACACTTACCTCGACCACCAGTCATAACCAGCCAATGTGCATACATATTGGTTGTGAGTGAGGCCTTAGCTCTGTCCGAGCTAGAGGTGACCACGCGGGCTACTTGTATCCCGAAATGGGTGGCGTATAATTTCAATTGCACGGCCTATAACTAGAATTGACTATAACCGCCCTGACCCGGAAGGGCCGCCCAGCAGGATCTCAAGGATCCTCGATCACCGCCCTTGGCGGCGGCCGGGGGATCTGAACTGGATGGGGCCCCAGAAAATCGATCAAGAGGGGTGGGGGCAAGCTAAATACGTTCAACAAAAATCGAGACCCGCATCCCTCCCAGGGTCCATCTGGTGCAATTTTTCATCCTGGATCCGCTTTTGACGGTCCCCGGGTACGAAAACGGCCCCCGGAAGCCGAAACAAGCAACAAACTTCCCGAACCCAGCTCCTCGAACCTGCCCCCCCTTCCTGCTGGCTGGAACCAACGCTGTGCTCGTGCTGGGGGGCAGTGTGGGGGGGGGCATTGGGGGGGGGAAAGATCGACCTGGCATTGGCGATACATCGCCGACAGATCGGCCATAGGCCCCCCCCTGTGCCTGTCCGCCCTATCGTTGCCCCCGACTTGCGGACCTTTTGCTGCCTCTCGGCCGCCCCCCACCCCCTCTCGTGGGCACGCAAACCTACGACGGGCGATCTTTGGGAACCCCAGTGGCCTCGCGCCAGGCCCCGGGACTGCCAGAGAACAACTCGGGATGAAACTCTCGAAGCGGGGCGAGTGGAGACAGCGGCGGCTCAAAGTCTCGCGCGCTACCCACGTCGCAGACGGAGCGACCTGCTATCCACTTGCATGGCATAGCGTGTCGCAGGGGCCGCCGCCGCGACACGCTATCCCAAAGTTCCCAACAGTAGGGCTAGGTCGGGCATGTCCACCTACAGGCGCATTGCGGGCGAAAGAAATCGAAATACTCCACACATACCCCACATGTAATCAACAATAGCCGAAACACCGTCCCCAGATAGTTTTTGTTGTACTATTGTTGGGCACTTCTCCTGTAGAGGGGCAGGCCCGACTGAACAGCAGCGGCAACGAGGGAGGAGGGGGAGCGAAGGCGCGAGGTCTCGAGGTCTTCGGACGTTCTTCGTTGGTCCCTGGCGGCTTCCCAGCCTATCGGGATGCTCTCCAGCAGCTGCGCCTCGCCGAGGGCGCTGCGGGTGCGCCCGGATCGCCCTCCACGGCCGCCGGAGAGCCGGCCTGTGACCCGAGGGCCATCGCAGGCAGCTGCTGCTGGGAGGCCTTCGGGCGGAGTTCGCTCCTGGCCTCCCGCCACGACGCATCCACTCTAAGACTTCTCGGTGCGCGCGTCGCCCAAGGGGGGGGGGGGGGGACGCACACAAGATTAGAGCAGAGACCGACCGTCCCGGCATGCCTCTGAGCCTACCACGACATGTTCTTAGAACCCCAAGTTGTCCGAATCACACAAAGAATGTTCTTTGAACACAACCCCGATGTGTTCAAACAAGACAGCCCCAGCCAGAAATGTTCTAAGAACGCTTCGTGCAGATCACAAAAGGTTCTCAGAACATTATTTGGTCGGCCTGGCACGCCAGGACGCTTCGCCACTGCTTGAAGCACCAGTATGCCGGGGTGGCGCAAGCAACGACCCCGCGCGTGGCCAGAGCTTCTCTGCGGGCGCAGCGGCCGCGCCCGTGCTCCGCACCCGTGGCCCGCGGGGGGCCCCCGGCAGGTTCAGGGCAGGCACGAGAGCGCCGCGGCTCACCAGCGGCGTCCGCGGCGCCGCGCCTCCTGGCAGGTCTGCGCTAAACCCTAAGAACCCTAAACCCTAAACCCTAAACTCTAAACCCTGAGCTCTGAAATACACATTTTGGTGATGCCCCCTCCTGCAATCATCGCGTTTCACTTGAAGTGCTTCCCCCCATGCTCGCACTCGATAAAAAACAACAACTGGTTATATATACACATATATATACACATAGAACGCGTTTTTTGCAAAACATGGAAATTGGACCGGATCACGAGATCGAATCGGATCGAGCGCGGGTCGAGTCGCCAGCGAAACGTCCCGAGTCGGATCGGTATCGAACCGCCGCGCCCTGCTTCCAGCTGGCCCTGGCCGATTCCGGTGAACAAAGCCGGATCGCCTCGAATCGGCATCGCGGCCCCAGCCGGCGAATCGAATCGCATCGGATCGGATCACAGGCGGCCCTGCCTGGGGGGCCGCAGCCAGCACTGCGCGGGGGCTGTGCACGCGCATCTCTGTTCCTGTGCAGTCCTCGCGCTGCCACACAAGAGGGAACAAGCAAGCCCTCCAGTGGCGGCCGATCCACAAAAAACCTTCCACAGGAAACTCAACCCTGAGACCCCAGGACGTCCATTGACTTTGGGTGGGAACGTCACGCCTTCCAGCTCAAAGCCATCGAAACCCAAGAACCACAGGGCACCCTGGAGACAAGCATGGTGTTTCTTGGCATGGGCTTCCATTGTACCCCACCACCCCACGATTTCTTAGGAGGGAGATCGGGTTCACTTCGTTCGGGACCTTCCGAGCGAAGTGAGCCCCCCCGTCCCCCCTTAGCCATCGTGGGTTGGTGGGGTAGGGTTTACATGTGAGCGACGATCAAGAAGGGGTCTTACGCGAGATGGCACAGCGACCTTACGCCGCAGCTGACGCGAGCCGCCAGCGCGGCACGCCACACTGAAAACGAGGGCCCTCACGCGCGACCTTACGCGGGGAGCTTGCGCGCCAATGTCGGCACAGTTGGACCCGTTTTTGTTCGTCGCCCATGTGGCATCCTGCCAGAAGGAACGAGGAAGAAGGAACGGCGAGGCTTCTATGGTACGGCGATCGCCTCGGCCACGAATACGTCCCTCGACCCAGAAATCTGAATAACGGCCCGAAAGCCACAGCCCCTCATGAGCCCGAGGTGGCCCTGATTTTTCAGCGCCTCGACTGCGTGCTGTGAGAGCCCGCGGTCGACGAGAAGCCTGGCCGGTGGTCCCAGACCCCCTCGCGTTGGGAACAAGAACGCGCGGGACATCTCTGGCTATTTTCGGCCTCCGGGGGCCTGTCGCCGAGCCCCGGGAGCGTCAAAAAACGACTTCAAACGGCAAGCCGGTCCCTGGGAAGGAGTCCAGCACTCTGGGGGTCAACGTTGTGAAAAGAAGGCGTCGGGGGTTTGGGGTGCGAGCGCGAGGTCGCTGGTATATAATGACGGGCGCGTGCGCGCTTCATCGTGTCAGTCCGCCGTGCGCTGCAACGGGGGCAAGGAAGCAGCCAGCGCTTGACTCAATGCGGGAGGGAGCAGCCTGCATCGAGCCAGGAAGTCGGATCGGATCGGACAACGCATCGAATCGGGGCGCATCGGAACGGAGTCAGAATCGAATTCGGTCGGCCGTGCAAGAATGCACAACGACGCCATGCGAGCATCGGGCAGCATCGGATAGTCGGAACATCGGAATCGGAATCGAATCGGAATCGATCGGGCAAGCTGACATCGATGTCGAATCGGATCGATCGGATCGAAATGGACCCTGCTGAGGAAGAAGCGGCCGCCGCTCGAGGTCGCCAGAGATGACCCCGGCGCACGCTGTGCCCAGGATCAAGCCAGCCCCCAGGAATTGGTCGAGATCTCTGGGGGTCGACGCTATGCACAGTTCATGACGTCGGGGGTCTGAGTCCTGAACTGTTCTCTGACAGCTCAGGGGCCCCTTGGAGGGCCCCGAGAATTCGAAAACGGAGAGAAACCTCGGGAGTCCTTGTCTGTCCCGTCGCGCCGCGATCCACGTCGAATCCGCGTCGAATCCGTGTCGAAACCGCATCGAACCAGCGTCGAATCCATGTCGCATCCGCACCGAACCCACGTCGGAGTACAGGAAAGGACTTCCATTTACAGTGCACGAGAGGCCCCCCGAAGATGCAAAGTCCTTTGGACCCGACCCTGATGAAGCCGCCGCGCCATGGGAACATTCGTTACATAATTCACCACATGTTCCCGCCGCTTCAGCACCCCCGAAACACTGTCAGGGTGGTTGTTCCGATGCATGCTTCTGCACTTCCTGGACCAAGGCAACTCGCTTTGCGATCTGCTCCTGGATGGACCGGTGGATGGACGGAGGCAACTGCTTTGCGATTTTGCTCTTGACGCGGAGCGTCAAGAATTCCCCTCAGGACCCGTGCCCCCCTGCCTGCCCGCCTGCTTCTCCCCTCCTTTCCCCCGCCCGTCGGGCAGCACAGCCTACCCATAACCAGCGTGGCGGCGCGCAGGGCTCGATCGGCAATCCCCTTCAGTTGTTGCCACGACGCGGGACCGTGGGGACACACCCCTCGGCGACGGGCGAGGGGGGGGGAACTGAGAATTGGAATCGGGAGCGGCAAAGAAGGGGGTGACGAAGAGGGGAGGGGAGGTATTACGGCTCGAGGCAAGTGCTGCGCACAGCTCGCAGGGCTGCGCACGCGCGAACGTAATGGGATATCATAGAAGCCCGCTGACCGCCAGAATCACCGGTTCAGAACCAAAGCCAGCCAGCCAGCCAAATTGCGACCCAGTCGCAAGCAACGCGAATGCACGCCAATCGCAACACAACCAGAGGCCAGTCGCTACGAACTAACTTCAAAACGCGCGCGCATAGGTCGATCACCGAGGCGTTATTGGACGTGGCATCCAGCCGATCTAATCGTGTCCTCGCAACCCCGGGGGCCCTCAGATTCCGAGCGCTTCGCAGCCATGACGACGCGCGTTGCCAGATACCAGCCACCGGGCATCAACTGGACTCAACGGCCCAGGCACTGTCGACAGGGCACGGGCCAGGGGACACGGCCACTGGGCAACGGAGCACGGGCCACGGGCAACAGTCCACGGACCGCGGGCCACGGGCCATGAGCAACGGGCCGCGCGTTATGGGCCACGAAGCGCCCAAGGGGCCATGAGAACGAGGAGGCAGTCTGGGAGGGGGGTGGAACGACAGGAGGGGAGGGGGGGCAGGATGCGTTTTCGCAGAACTTATGCCCACGCGAATCCCAGATGTTTTTTTTGACATTGTGTTTGACCATGACTCTGTGGTTCAAGAAAAATTTCTCGACCCTTGGCATGTGTTCTCTCGCAGAACTTCTGGCCAGCGGCAAACTCGTGTCCGTGCCATGTAGTTTCTGGGAATGTCATGGTCAATACCATGTGTTCTCTCGGAACCCATGGTCGTTGCCATGTGTTCCCGGCGAAGTCGTGTCCGTGCCGTTTGGTTTCTGAAGATTTCATGGCCACTGCCATGCGTTCTCTCGGAACTCATGGCCGTGGCTATGTCTTCCCGGCTAACTCGTGTCCGTGCCATGGTTTCTATAGGAATGTCATGGCCAGCGTCATATGTTCTCTCGGAACTCGAAGCCAACGAGCGGATTGAGCGCCACCATTTGGCACCGCATGGTTTTCGCGATCGGCCCGTCGAAAATGCGCCGCGGCGCCGAGAGCCGCGGTATCGCGGGGACACGCGGCCATCGAGGTCACGGGCCAGAATGCCGAGAAACCACGGGCCGCCACGGGACCATGGAGCCACGAGCCACGGGGCGCTCGGAGCCACAGTGCAACGGAACGCAAGAACAACGAACATTTGCAACGCGGTAGGTTCGCATTGCGCCACTGGTGAAATGTGCCTGCCGACTGCGCGGGCACAACGATCTTACACAGCGGCTGCAAACAGACGCTCTGGTTGTTTAGTTTCGAACTCCATCATGAACTGAATCATGATACGCACACACCCCTAGTCCTCACGTCCCTCTTGGCCGCTCCCGATGCAAGACCACGGCGGGACTTCCCAGAAGGCCGCGCCGGGCCTTCTGAGAAGTCTCCCGTGTCTTCGGGGTTGAAAACTTAGAAAACTTCTCAGCAGGCCGGGGGGGACTTTCGAGCTTTCTGAGAAGGCCCGACCCTGGAAAACCGCCGAGAACCGACGACGACGACGCCCGAAAACCTCGAACCTCGAGCTTCCCCCCTGGTTCTGTTGCATCCTCGGGGGGCCTTGTCTGTCCCGTCGCGGCCCTATCCGAATCGAATCCGTGTCGAATCCATGTCGGCCTCGTCGGATTCGTGTCGAATCCGTGTCGAGTCCGCGCCGGATGCGCGCCGAATCCGCGTCGAGTCTGCATCGAGCCTACGCCGGGCACGAGAAGAGACACCCATGTTCGGGCCGGGCGAGGTCCCCCGAAGATGCAACGTCACCCTGGGCTCGCCGCCGCAAGACACTCCCTCAGGACCCTTCGGTGGAAACTCATGGGAGCCTCCCACACCATCTTGTCGGCTCTTGCGACTCGACGCGAATCGACGCCCAATTGACGCCAAATCGACGCTCATCGATGCTAGCCGACGCTTAATCGGCGCTGCCTTATCGACTCCCAGAGGCTCATCGACGCTAGTCGACGCTACAGACGGAATCGGAAAGGTATACCAGGCCCCCATGATTTGCTACCGAAAGACCTCTTGCCCCCACAGACCAAATGTAAACACATAAACTTTTGGCGCTGCGCGCGAATTTCTTGGATCTGCACTAGACCCCCTCCCTGGCGAGCGGAGCTCGCCAGGGGCGGCGCCGGAGGCGCCGCCAAGGGGGCCCAGCGCGGAGCCAAGAAATCCGCGCGGACCGCCAAAGTTAAAATTGAAATTTCAATTGTTGTTCTTCGACGAAAACAGCACCAGATCCCCGACGCCGTGATTCTTTCGCAACGTCAACTCCCAGAAGTCTGGACCCCTTCCCCGGGGACCGCTTCTTCCTCCTGAGTCGTTTTCTGACGGCCCCGAGGCCCGGCGAATGCCCCTGGAGGCCGAAAATTCTGACAAACCTCCCTTCGTGATTTTTGTTTCCCAGCGCGAGGGGGTCTGGGCTGCCCCCACGGGGATGGGCGCGGGGGTTGCTAAGGGGATAGGGGGGTTATCAGTGGACGCCAAAGGGGTTATACCTGGCCTAATATATCTTATAAGTGGCTTCCACATGCCCACAGTGATCTAAGAGGATCAAACAACTCCGCTGAGTGGGCGGAGCCCACTTAGCCTGCATCGCTAACCCCCCCCAGCCACTAGCAACCCACTAATGAGCTAGGTTGAACCCCCGCGCCCATCCCAGCAGGGCGCGAGGAAGGCCGCACGGCGGCGCGCGGCCATCCTGCCGGCCCCGTCGCCGGGGCCGGGCGCGCGCGGGCGCCCAGCGGCGTCGAGGGCGCCGAGGCCCCCCGGCTCGGCTCCTCGGCGTCGCGCGCCCGCCGGGCAGGGCACTCGAGGGGCAGGCGCGGCCAGCATCGAGCCCTCTTCTGAGGGAACGAAAACTGACATAAACATAACAACTCGGAGGTCCGCGCGGAGTTCTCAGATCGGCGCTAGACCCCCCTGGCGGCGCCTCCGGCGCCGCCCCTGGCGCGCGGAGCGCGGCAGGGAGGGGGGTCCAGAGTTTTTATGTTTATGCCATTCTTCGTTCCCCTATTCTAGGCGAGCTCAAGCAACCTTCGAGGCTAGGTTTTTCCTCGTGTTCGGCCTCTCGCGGACCTCTCCGAGCCTCGGCAACTGCTGTTCGACGACGACTCGGGACGAAGCACCGGTCCGAAGACGCCTCGGGTCGAGCCCAGACATCCAGCGTCCCGAAGAGATCGCCAGCTCTGCCGGACCGCTGCGAGGGATCGATCTTCACCTCAAGAATTTGGCCTCGAGCGCCGCGTGTGCCGCGGCCCGCTCGCGTCACACTGCTTGCACCGCATATTCTCAGAACATCGCGCTTGCCACCCCGAATCAGCTCGCTTTCGGCCTCTCGGGGCCCTTTCGGGGCCTCGGGACCATCAGACAACGGCTCGCGGGACAGAAGCACCGGTCCCAGGGAAGTGGTCGAGGGGTCGGGGGCCAGGGTCTCGAAAAAATCAATAAGTCCGATGTCTGGGAAACGGGAAATCGAATTAGATCTGCACGTGTATTCAATCGGCTCGCATGGTATCGAATGTGTATCGGCTCGGATCGGATCGGCACGTGTGTGTATCGACTCGTCTCGGATCGGAACGTGAATATCGACTCGACTCGGACCGTAGCATGTATCGAATCGGACACCGCATCGGCTCGGAGTCGGAATCGAATCGAAGCGGCGGCGCCAGGATGCATGCAAAATTCGGGCCGCGTCGGATCGCCCGAACAGAATCGATTCGGGCTAATCAGAGCCCGTATCGAACCGGATCGATCGGATCGACATGGACCTTGAAGTGTGGGCCGAAGGTCCCCCACGTCCTGTCGCTGTTCGAGGTTCGGGGTTCGAGGTTTTCGGGCGTCTTTGTCGGTTCTCGTCGGCTTGCTGGCCCAGGAGCGCTGCTCAGCAGCTACGCCTCGCCGAGGGCGTTCGGCGGGTGCCCGGAGCGTGCGTCCTGAACGAGCGCCAACGAGCCGAGTCAAGGCCCGGGAACCTCGCACCTTCCCCCCCCAGAAGCACCGATACCGATACCCTTCCCTCGCCTGCGGCTTTTTGGGTCCCCTGGGAGGCCCTCGTCGCCACCGCCGGATTCGCCTCGACTTCTCGTCAGGACGCACCGTTGAGAAACCAAGCACGGCGGAAAACTTGATCTTCGGCCTCTAGCGGCCCTCGCTGGCCCCAGGACCGTCGAACAACGACCCAAGACGAAAAACGGGCCCTGGGGAAGTCCCTGAGATCCGACGTTGCGAAACATTTGCAACATCGCAAGAAATCACGACCGGCGCCCCGGGCCCAATCCTTCTACGCCCTTTTTTTTGAGCCGCATCGATCTGCGAGGCTCCCAGGACCCGACACGGGGCCAAGACGCCCGTTGTGAAACGATCGCAACGCCGGGTTCTCAGGGGTGGTCCAGAGCTTGGGGGGCCGGCGCCTCGAACACAAAAAACGTCGGATATCTGAGCACCGTGCCGAGAAGGTACGGCAAGCTTACGTCCCGATGACGTGGGCGCTGCTATCTGCCACCGCGCGGGCACAGCATCCTCGAGAGATGACGGCTTTCGGACAGCCCAGATTACGCGGAAAGCATCTAGACACTACCACCCTTCCTGGCCAGGGCAATCCTGGGCCCTGGCATGGTGTGTACGCCTCCTGGCCGAGGCCGGAGGGGCCTATACTCGTGGAGCCCAGGGTGGCCCTGGCCGGGCACGGGGGTGGTGTACTGATGGCATCTGCGGACAGATCGCCCGGTGTCCCGCGCCAACGGCGGCGCTGGGGTCGCCGCCGCGTCGACGCTGGGCAGTTTCCTTATCATTCGCGATCACGGCCGTGACAGGCCCCGCCCCGCCCTCCCCCCTCCCCCCCCGGTCGCCGTCACGATTCGCGCCGGCGCCGTCTGGGAATGCACATTCCCGGACAGCGCCAGCGCGGATCGTGGCGTGACCCGCCCCCCTCCCTCCCCCGCCCCCCCCCCCCGTGTCACACTCGTCATCGCGAGGGGAATTCAAAAACAGCAAGCAAGCCTGCCGTGTGCAAGAGCAGACGGCTGGCGTAGTTCTGCCAAGTGTGCAGCGCTCACGGGGGACAACGGCCGTGCCGTCGCCGTGCACCGGAAGCGGTCCTACAGACTTCTAGAACGATGCACGTTTACAAGCCTGGCATTTCAACTAGATGCTAAGCCATTGACGAGCCAATCGAAGCCCCTTAGAATAAGAATATGTGCAGAATCCTTCAGCCGCTTCTGACCTGTCAAAGGCTACGCTCCACTGTCCTTTGACGCATCAGCACAATTTCTCAGAACAGGGCCATAAAGTATAAACATAATGCACTTCTCCAGCCTGCAGGAAGCAACGCATCCCTGTTCGCAAACCAGCGTCCAACCGAACGAAATGCACATATTAGAAGTGGTGCAGATGCGCACCCAATAACACTAATATCGATCGTGATACATGCAATATCAATGCGTAATGACACGGGTGTGACCCAGCGTTGTGCAAAACAACTAGGCGGCCCCCAATGCGGGCTCAAGGCTGTGAAGGTTCCCGCTGGGCTGATGTCTGGTGTCCTTGTCGTTGCCTTCTATCTTCGGTCTCTTGTCTCTCCGGTCCTGCCTCAAGGGCACCCGCTCTCCACAACGTGGCCCACGACACTCAACAAAAACACCAGGGGTGGTGGTGCCTCAAATTCTGAACTGCCTAAAATTCCCCAGGAATCCCACAGGGACGCAACCGCACGGCCAAGGGGGCCAGGAGGCGTCGAAGTCAGCTGCAAGACGGCACCGAAAGGTCAGAAACGCCAAACCATGGCTTCAAGCTGGCCAGATTGAGGCCCCTACGACGGCGGCCACAAGACGGCCCCAAGAGACGCTGTTAGAGAGCTTATATCAAAGCCGTTGCTCCCCTAGTGCCTGTGACAGAGTTTGGTGTTCTTGCTTTTCTGGCTACGAGAACCCCAAAACGGACCAACACGCATCCAATATTGTTCCTGGACAACAACCGATAATTGTACCTGCATGCCTGCGCCCCCGCGAAGGAGCTCCACCTAAGGCCTCGACGGGAAGGAAAGGTTCACAATGAGAGGCCAGAACGAAACGGGGATGAAAACATGAGGGAACAGGGGGGACGAACAAGACAACGACGATAACGGAAACGGGAACAACGATATCGGTATCTTCTTATGCCTATCATTGTATTACCTCGTGTCTCTATGTGTGAATTCCCTCTCTCTTACCGCTCTGCTCATTTCTCTCTTGCTCTCTCTCTCTCTCTCTCTTTCTCCCTCTCTCACCAGATTTCTCATTCCGCCTGCATGCGAGACGAGAACGGCCACAGTGCATGGCGCGAAGCGTCATTGCCGTCTGGTGTCATAATTACGTACACGTATATATACATTTATGTATATACATATACATGTACATACATAATACATACATGCAGGTGAGCATGTAAGTGTATGTATAGGTACACATGTACATGTGTGTATATATGCACACGTACGTATGTCTATACATTCAAATACATATACACGTACATATGTGTGTGTGTGTGCGTGTGTGTGTGTGTGTCGGCGGTGCCCAGTGCGGAGCGACCCCGGGGGATGCAGGAACACCCCAGGACGCACAGCTGGAACCGCCGGTGCGGACAGGAACCACCCCGGCACGCACCGCTGGTGCGGTCCGATACGACCCCCCCCGCGATGCCCCGGGGGTACGAGCGTCCGGGAGCGTGCGGGACGCGTAGTTCCCACAAGTCCAACTGGACCGAGAGGCCCCACAGCTCCCACATGCCCCCACAGGTCTCGCTGGTCGTGCAGGGGCCCACAGGCCCCACAGGCCCCACAGGCCCCACAGGTGCCCTGAGTCCCGCAAGTCCCACAGGCCCCACGGGCACCACAGGTCCCGCAGGCCGTACAGGCCGCACAAATCGCACAGGTCTCAAAAGTCCCACAATGTCCACAGGTTCTACAATCTCACGCGCCCCCACCGGTCCCGCGGGTCAGGCCCCACGTGTCCGACGGGTCCCACTGGTCGCACGGGTCCCAGAGGTCCCAAAGGCCTCATAGTTCCTGCGGGCCGCACGGGTCCCACAGGTCCGTTGCTGTCAGGGTGCTTCGCTGGAGTAACGATCTGATTCGCCTCCAACCTCCAGTCAAAAGTATAATCGACTTCTCGTCTCGCATCCCCCTCCTCCTCATTCTCGCCCCGCTCGCGCATTGCCCCCTCGCCAGCCGATCCTGGCGAGGGGTACTACTCGAGCTCGCCTCCTCCCAGCACGGCTCGGACGCTGCCGGTGAGGACGACTGCTCCTGCAGGGCGGTGGGCGCGACACTCTGTCTCAAGAGCGAGGTGGCGACACCCGAACCCTCGCCCCACCAGCCATCGATTTTCCTGAGTCGATGGGAGGCTGGGGTAGGGCTCGGACTTCGCCGCGTGCTCGGCGAATTCCGGACCCTACAGTCAACACTGGTAGCAGAAAAGCGCCATCAGGATGCAGTCCTCTTGGACGCCCCTGTTGAAGCTTCTGCGAGCGCGGCGGGCCATCGACAGAAGTCAAGGATGGACCGACGAGGCAAGGATGCACCATCCTTGCCTCTTGACGTAGAGGAGGAGGAGGAGGAGGAGGAGGAGGAGGAGGAGGAGGAGGAGGAGGAGGAGGAGGGGAGGAGGAGGGAGGAGGAGCAGGAGGAGCAGGAGGAGGAGGAGGATCGACCCAGATTGGAGGGCGCGCCGAGTTCGGTGACGGGAAGGGCGGCAGCGGCGAGAGAAGCAGAGAGAGAGAGAGAGAGAGAGCACAGCACCCCCGAGAAGGCTCCCCGTTCTTGATGATGATGATGATGATGATGATGATGATGAGGAGGAGGAGGAGGAGGAGGAGGAGGAGGAGGAGGAGGAGGAGGACCGAAGGTTCCCCATCCTCACCGTCGGCTTCGACTGCACCCCCGCCGCCCATCGAGTTGCCTGTGCCGTGGCCGGGCGAGGGCCTGGCTCGGACCTCGCCGCCGAAGGACCGGCCTCGGGGGCGCGCCTCCCAGGGGGCGCCGCACCCGGGCCGGCGAGCCGCGCGCTCGGCGGCTGGGGGGCCCCCTGTGGGCCTGCTTGCGCGCGGGGCAAGCCTGCGCCGTGTCGACCGACCCCGGCGCTGGTTCCGAACACCGCGCCCGAGGAGGAGGAGGAGGAGGAGGAGGAGGAGGAGGAGGAGGAGAGGAGGAGGAGGAGGAGGAGGAGGAGGAGGAGGAGGAGGAGGAGGAGGAGGAGGAGGAGGAGGGGGAGAGATCCGACGCTCCAACAACAATTGGAGCGGGCGGCGTAAAGCTGTTTTCGGCCTCTAGGGGGATCTTCTGACCAGGGTCAATCCAGACTCGGGTCAGTCAGGTCTTGCAGAATCCTGCAAGATCCTGCACCCAAGCCCATGTCAGTGCGAAAGATCCTGCAAGATCCCGCAGGATCCTGCACCCAAGCCCGGGTCAATGCGACCCTGGTCCTGCAGGATCCTGCAAGATCGGGCGCTCAGGCTGACCCCCGTTTGCATTGACCCCCGTCTGACGGCTCCCGAACAATTTGCGTCATGACGACCCCGGCGCTGGTTCCGAACTCCGCGCCCAGAGACCCGACGCTTTGAGTTGTGTTGCGGCCTCCAGGGGGGGGGCCCTCGCTGGGGACGGGCCAAGCGCGACTCAGGACGAACAAAAACCCGGCCCCAGGGAAGTGGTCCAGACCTCTGGGACCCGCGCATCGCACAACATTGGAGCAGCCAGACGTCTGGGCGTGGATCGCTCAACCTGGAACGATCGGCGGCCCTTCGATCGCCAGATCCCCAGACCCCCGACATCGCGATTTCTTGAAAACGTGACCCCCAGGAGCCTGGACCCCTTCCCCGGGACCCCTTTTTCATCCCGAGTCGTTGTGTGACACTCCCGAGGCCCGGCGAGCGCCCCCGGAGGCCGAAAACGACGAAAAGCCCCCCGTCGTGAATCTTGCTCACAGCGCGAGGAGGCTGGGTGGCACGGATCGCCCAGCCTGGAACGATCGGCGGCCTTTCGATCGCCAAACCCCTCTCCACATCGGCCGGCTCGGGGCCGCTGGCCGTGTTCCGCCTCGAACGCCCGCGGCGGAGTCGCCGCCACGTCGACGCGACGCGGGCCTGCCGCAGTGGACCTCGGCGGCAACGAGCATCGCGGCCGCTGTGACGAGGCGAAGGCACGCGGGGAGGAGGCACGCTGCGGCACGGGAGGAGGTGGGACGTGCGCCTCCGGGGAGGCCATCTCTTGAGATCCAGCGCTGCGCAGAAAGCTCGAGTCGAAAAAAACACGACCAGAATTATGTTGCCCCCCATCGTACTCAAGGACCACATCCCAGAAATAATTCCGAGCACCCGGAGAGGTGTCAAAAGAGTGTCGCAACAATGTCGGGCGAGTGTCTCCCAGGGCCCGACACGTGAAAACCCTTGGCGCTGGAAAGTCTTTCTGGTGATCAAGGCTAAAGTCGGCTGGAGCATCATAAGACCAGAGCCCCCTTTGCACCTCTTCTCGTGGACGTTGTCCAGACAGATCGATCTGCGATATGGCCCTGGGGCCCGAGGACGGGCGAAGACGCCTGGCGTGGAGAAACTGCTGCGCCCGAATTTCGGATCTCGGCGGGGCCAGAGCCCTTCCTCGAGGGTCTTCGTGACGAGGGCCTCGAAGAATCGGACGCCCCGGACATCGAATCGAATCGAACCCGAAGAACAACCACAACGGCTGCAAATCGGCAACCTGCCGGACACCCGAATCGGAGCGGCGGCACGCGGCAGCCGGCTAGGGCCGAGAGAGAGAAAGAGGCCGAGAGAGGCAGCGGCCGGCAGGCCTGCCGGCCCCCGCGGAGAGCTCGGAGTCCAGATCGGAATCCGAGGCCGAGCTGAGGCGGAATCGGACGCCATCGACATTCTTTTTTGTTTGGGGGGGGGCAGCGGGCACTCTAGAGGCCATGGAGTCCTCGGGCCTCAAACAAATCACGGCGTCGGGGGTCTGGGGACGCATCTGGTGTGAGGTCGACTGCAAAATGGATTCACCCCAAAATGTGTTTTTTTCTCGGAGGATCTAATACGCATGCGTAGCATGCTCGGTGAATCTGCGATCCTCGTGCGTTCTTTTTTGTGCGTGGCTTCGACGACAGAACCAATGCTGAGGGAAGTCGGTTCTCTAGTCGATCCCCTACCGCGGGTGCGTGTCGTGTCGACCCCCGCGCCGGTTTCTGACACCGCGGGAAGCGGTCCACCTGGAACGATCGGTAGCCCACCAAACGTCCGATCGTTCATCATCGACCGACTTTGGGTCGCTGGCAGCGTTCGACCTTGAACGCCCGCGCTGGGGTCGCCGCTGGTCGACACGACGCGAGCCTACCGTGATTACTCGAACGCACCGAGAGGTGCAGCTCGGAGGCTCGTCGCCAGGGGCCCTGCGGCCGTCACGAGACCACTGGGGAGGGAACACCGGCCAGAGGGGTAAGGGTTAGGTCAGGCATGTCCTGCTACAGGCGGATTTTGGACCAAAATGCACAATAGTCAAACCATATTCAAGAATCAACAAAGATAACTGTAACTAGTCGAAGCATCGTCCCCCGATTATTTTTGGTAGATTCTTGAACATTTCTCCTGTAGAGGGACGTGTCCGACTTCAGGGAAAGAGTCGGAACCTGCGGGGGGCACCGCGCTTGGAAAGAAGTCTCAGACGGGAGCGGGAGTCGCTCTTCAAGCTTGAGTATATGGGGCATTGAGCTCGATAGTGCCCCGTCTGCCTCTGCGGTGGCCCCATATGCTTCTGCTGTGGACGGCGAGGACAGGTTTCTAAGGAGGAAGTGGAGTATGAGGAGCAGGAGGAGAAGGAGGAGGAGGAGGAGGAGGTGAAGAATGAGGATGGAGGGGAAGGAGGAGGGAGGGCAAGGAGGAGGGAGGGCAAGGAGGAGGAAGAGGAGGAGGAGGAGGAGGAGGAGGAGGAGGAGGGGCAGGAGGAGGAGGGACGAGTTTCTACTGCCCGCCGAGAGCTTCGCGGGGTGGGGGGTGGGTCCTCAAAATTAAAGTCCCTTCGCGGTCACATCGGGGACCTCTGAGATCTGGATCTGGAGGCTCTGGGGATTGCCACGTTCGTTTTCATGGAAGCCTATCTTAGTCAAGATGCTGGCGGGTCGGCGGCAAATAGCGGCAGATAGCGGCACCTGGTGGACCGCAAATAGCGGCACACGCCCTGCGCCACTCGTCCACCAACCATCCCGTATGGTTCGCCGCGAGTGGCAGCGAAAACCAGAAAAGAACACTTTGGGTGAACATCCAAGGCTTCCGTAAACACGCAAAACAAAAACACACAGCCCAAATGACGCATCCGGCGCCGGGGGGCGTTCCAGAGCGCTCTGGGTCGCTCCTGGCAGCGCTCTGCAGCGCTCCGAGGCGATTTACAGTTAAGTGGGGCACGTCCCTCTACAGGAGGAACATTCAAACATAGCCATACAAACAGGGGACATGTATTTTGAAAGGTTTGAACTAATTTTTATTGTTCGTCCAAAATCCGCCTGTAGGGGGACCTGCCCGACCTGAATGTAAGGTCCGCCCAACGGCAACGGCCCAACGGCACGAAGCAGGTATGCTCTCTTTCTGTCGGCGGCGAGCGAGGGGGGGGAAGCGGGAAGGAGAATGCCTTCTCAGAAGGCGGCAGGACTCCTCGCGCCCTCCGGGAAGTCTCTCCTGCGTCTGCGGGGAAGGCTGAGACAACTGCTCTGAAGGCGGCAGGACTCCTCCGAAACCCTCGCGCCCTCTGAGAGGTTTCTCCTGCGTCTTCGGGAAGGCTGATAAAACTTCCCAGAAGGCGGTAGGACTTCTCCGAAGCCCTCGCGCCTTCTGAGAGGTTTCTCTGCGTCTTTTCGGGGAAGACTCCGGAAACTTCTCAGAAGGCCCGGGACTTCCGAGCTTTCTGGGAAGGCCCGCCCCTGTATGCTGGTGGTTTTCGGGCCATAGCTCGGGACCCCGGTGGCCGTTCGCGGTGACCTGGGCACCCCCAGAACGCCCTTGGCGAGGCGCAGCTGCTGGAGCGCACCCCGAGGCTGGAAAACCGCCGAGAACCGACGACGACGACGACGACACCCGAAAACCGACGACGACGACGCCCGAAAGCCGACGACGACAACGACGACCACGACGACGACGACGACAACGACGACGACGACGACGACAACGACGACGAAGACGACGACGACGACGACGACGACGACGACGACGACGACGACGACGACGACGACGACGACGACGACCGAGCCTTGTGAGGAAGCCCGCCCCTTCTCATCTCCCCCCGGGCGCGCCGCCGTCTCTGCCCCCCGCCGACTCCAATCGAGCGTCGCGCGCGAGCAGGACCACGACGGGCCCCTCCCCGTCGTGCCAAAGACAGGACCATGACGGGAGGCTCCCCGCAGCCCCTTAGGCCTCGGTGGCCCTTGCCAGTCCCCGGGCCGCCGACCAGACTGCCCAGAGATCCGAGATGATGTTTGCAACCCGGCGGTTTTTCTCTGAATTCGGACTCCAGGGCCCGTTCTCGGGCGAACCATCAAGAATGGGTCCAGGACGAAGGGCCACCCCGGGGGATGCAGTCAGGACCTCTGGCCGGGGCCGCGGATTGAAATATCAGATCGTCGGCGGATGTCTGTGTACCCGCGGCAGAAATCCAGGCCCCCAGGAAGGGGCAGGAGAGGGAACTCCTGAAGACAAGTCCCTGGGAGCTGGTGAACACAGCGGCGGACCCCCGTGTCGGAGCCTATAGCTCGCTGCTGAGTCCTTCGCGGCCTGGCCGGCGCAACAGGACGGGTAGAAGGGCTCCGAGAGGCCGGAAACGATGCAAAACCTCCCCTCCATGAGACCTCCTCAACAGACTGCGAAAAACAAGCGTTTCGATCGAGGCATCCTCAAAAATAACTCCGCCGGCCTCCTTCAAACGCGTCATTTATCGCAAAATGATTCCGCCGGCCTCCTTCAAGTCGATTCCGGGGGTAAACCTCTGAAAGAGAACCCATGGGCCCCCGCCCTTTCCGGGAAAAACTGCAACGCCGCGAAACATCACGACTGGAGCCCCGGACCCCATCTCTCTGCGCCACTTTCCGAGCTGGATCGACCCGTGGGGGTCCCCGGGCCCGAGCTCCTCCGAAGGCGCCCGCCGCGAGCCAACACTGCCGCGCCAGGAGCCCTGGGTCCCGGCGTCGCCGTCTTGGCGCACCCGCAGCTCCGAGTCGGAGTCCAGGCTGGTGGCCGTGGACGGCGCGGCGCGCTCGTGCAGCGCCGGGCCCGGCGCGTGGCCCGCGGCGCCCGGGTCGAGCGGCGCCTGCCGGGGGGGGGGGGGGGGGGGCGAGGGCTGGAGCCCCGAGGCCCTGGCGCTCGCCTTGGGTCGGGCAAGTCCTCCTACAGAGGGATTTTGGACGAAGGATGAAGGATGGCAAGTACCCCAAGCAGATTTAAACACAGCCAGAAGTAGTATTAACAAAGACGCTACTTCTGAATACTTCTCCTGTAGAGGGACAGGCCCGACTCACCGCTTGCCTGGTGTTTCGCGCCGGGCGTTTGCGGGCAATACTTCCTGTGCGTATCCACTGCAGCTTGGAGTTCAGGGTTCCCTTACCCAGAAGCCCGAGGCGCACTGGAGATTGACATAACAAAAACTGCCCCCTTGGAGGCTCGATCATTGTCCATATCAAGTGTGCCTCGGCCTTGCGGCGCCCTTTCCAAGAAAGTTCAAAACGCACGGGATATGGATACACACATTGCCCGCAGCGTTGTCCCCAAGGTCTCCAGACCCCCTCGGGTCGTGAGCAAAATCATGGCGTGAGGTTTTTCACTATCCTCGGAGAAGACGAGGGGATGAAGAACCGGTCCCAGGGAATGGGTCCAGACCGCTGGAAGTCCACGTCATGAACAAATTAGGACGTCGAGGGCATGGGTTTCGGGCCCCAGGAACCTCACAGATCGACCGGGCTCCAAAAACGCGCCACAGGGAGATGGGGCTCTGGTGGTGCTTTCTCGCAATTTTGCAAATTTTGCACGCACGCACGCACGCACGCACGCACGCACGCACGCACGCACGCACGCACGCACGCACGCACGCACGCACGCACGCACGCACGCACGCACGCACGCACGCACGCACGCACGCACGCACGCACGCACGCACGCACGCACGCACGCACGCACGCACGCACGCACGCACGCACGCACGCACGCACGCACGCACGCACGCACGCACGCACGCACGCACGCACGCACGCACGCACGCACGCACGCACGCACGCACGCACGCACACACACACACACACACACACACACACACACACACACACACACACACACACACACACACACACACACACACACACACACACACACACACACACACACACACACACACACACACACACACACACACACACACACACACACACACACACACCACACACACACACACACACACACACACACACACACACACACACACACACACACACACACACACACACACACACACACACACACACACACACACACACACACACACATCCGTAGCCATTTTGGCTCAAGGCTATGAACCGCCCGACGACCGCGAGTCCGTTCTCGGGCGCCTCTGAGCGCGAGGGGGTTCGCGCTTTGAGGCCAGTTCCTTTGTGCAAGATTCTCCCTCCAGTGGCCAGCCTGGCCGTCATTTTGCTGCTCGCGGGCACAGCTTCCGAGTCTGTGGTTGAGGAGCAATGGCGCCGCCCGCCGCTGGTGCAAAGGGAGGAGGCAGTCGTGCAGCCCGTCGTGACAAATGGCTCTGCAAGTCCTGCCTCGGACGTGATCACAAGCCCTACGTCAACTTCGCTGACAAGCTGTGCTGCAGCAGTTGCGGCCTGGCCAAAAGCGTTGTGTACGGGGGCCCCGTCAAGCCCAGTGCGCCCTCTCGGCCAGCGCCGTGGGCCGCAGGAGGCAAAGCAGCAGGTTCGCTCTCGGCGCAGCTGCTTGAGATGCAGAAGCAAGTCCAATCGCTCACGTCGCAGCTCAAGCAGGCGAAGGCCAAGCCACCCGAGTCGGCGGCGCCCACGGCGAGCGCTGAGCAAAGGGAAGGCGATGCTGGGGCCGAGTCGACAGTCAAGAAAAGGTTGGACGAGTTGGACGGCTTCATTAAGCAGCTGGTTGGAGTTGACACGCCAGAGGTTGCGAAGCTGGTGGGGCAGTACAAGTCAGAGCAAGTCAAGCTGCGCACGCAGCTGTTCCAGGAGAAGCCGCCTTCACAGCGGCTCAAGTCTCTCGGTTTCAAGATCACCACGGTCGAGCAGCAGATCGCCAAGCAGCAGGCGGCCCGCGAGCTCAAGCAGGCGCAGCTGGCGGCTTTGCAGGCGGAGATCGCCACGCAGGACGCCGCGTTGGCAGTATCCCGCAAGCAGCTGCTGGAGCTTGAGGGCCAGCGGGCACAACTGGTTGGTGCGCTGCCGCAGCCTCCCGCAGCGGCTCCTGGCACGGGTGCTGGCGACGATGGGAGCAGCTGGGCGCTGCCCAAGCTGGAACAAGTCCTGCTTGCTGCTGGCGCTCCTCCTGATCTGCAGCAGGACGTGGCCAATCTGGTGGACAGGATGCGCCAGCATCGGCACGCTCAGGAGCAGGAGCGAACAGCTCAAGCCGAGCGTGAGGCCGCCCAGGCTCAGCAAGAGCAAGCCGAGGAGGCGGCTGACAGAGCCGACGCCGCCATGGAGGCGGACGAAGGAGAGGCCCAGGATGAGGAGTCCGTCAACCAGGCCACTGCCGAGGAGCTTCGCGACTTCTTGCGCGAGTCTGGCGCTGACATCCCTAACGCTGCCGATGATTCAGAGGAGGAACTTCGCGCTGCCGTCAAGAGAATCCACATGGCCGCAGCCAAGTGGAAGGTGGTCAAGAAGCCACGCACAGCCTGAGAACTCATTGTTGCCAGTCATGATGCGCAGCAAGCTACAGGTTACTACTGTCAACGCCAATTCGTTTGGCACCCTGTCCAAGTACCTCGCCGAATGCAGCAGCGACGTGGTCTTAGCGCAGGAGCACCATGCAGGTGCCGAGAAGCTCCCTGCGGTACAAGGAGACGCCCAGGACTCGGGCTGGAAAGGAGTGTGGTGCCCCGCGCTGGCCACAGCGGCTGGCGGCACGGAGGGAGGCGTCGCTGTCTTGGCCAAGACGGACATCGTCGTCACCAAGGCGCCACTGCTGGAGGACGGCGTCATAGTGCCTGGCAGGGCCGTGGCAGCCCACGTGCATGCTGCGCTTCCTGGCGGCTTCGTCGCCGTGGCGCTGTATCTACACACAGGCGAGGGCAGGTCGCCTCGCAACTTGGCCATTGTCTGGCAAGTCGCGCAGTATGTGAAGCGTGTCGTCACAGGGCCTGGCCTGGCATGGATCGTAGGCGGCGACTTCAACATGGCCCCGCAGGAGTTGCTAGAGCATGACTGGCTCCACCTCGCCGATGCCACGTGCGTGGCCCCGCGGGAGCCCACCTGCCTGCAAGCAGTGCCAGCTACCACCCTGGACTACTTCCTCGCCCACCGCCCGATGCTCCAGGGGGCTAAGTACACCGTCGACGTTTCGGTCACCGACATAACGTGGCCACATAGGCCTGTGCACCTCACGCTGGCCAAGCGCACCGAGGCGCCGATGGCGCGCGAGCTAGATGAGCCGCGGCCGTTCCCTCGGCAGCTGCCCGTGGGATGCGCGCGGTATCCCTGGCATGGCTGGGAAGAAGTGTATCTCTCCATTGATAAAGCGCAGTCTCTTCCTCAGCCGGCAGTGGCATGGGACCTGGTCCTCCGAGGCGTGGAGGAAGAGCTGGCTGGCAGACGCGACATTGTCGGCACGCGCAAGCAATGCTATGTGGGGCGCGAAGGCCCCGTGCAGCAGCGCACCCGTCAGCTGGAGTGGCGACCTCCTCGGAGACGCGCACGACATGGGCCAGAAGTAAGCGCGTGGAATGTTGCGGCCAGGTGGGCCCAGCACATCCTCGGTGTGCACGATTACGTGACGAAGACGGTTGCGAAGCTCACCCTGCACCAGGACGGCTCCGACACGGGCTTGGGCCAGGTGGGCCCTGCACCAGGGCGTGGGCGCGCGGTGCGCCCAGGAGTGGAAGCGCTGCCCGAGGCCAGGTCGACCCTGACCGTGCAGCCAGCTGCCTGTGGGGCCCACCGCGGTGGGGTGGCCGATGCCCTCACACATGAGGGAGCTGAAGGCGGCCTGGTGAGGCGATGCGACGCTCGCCCCGTCGCCCTCCCTGTAAGCCCGAGCGAGGCCCACCGCGGTGGGGTGGCCGATGCCCTCGCACATGTACTTGCCCCTGGCGGCCAGGTGAGGTGCTGCGACGCTCGCCCCGTCGCCCTCCCTGTAAGACCGAGCGAGGCCCTCTGCGGAGGGGTGGCCGATGCCCTCGCACACGTACCTCCTCTTGGCGGCATGGTGGGGTGCCGCGTCGCTCGCCCCGACGCCCTCCCTGTAAGTCCGAGCGAGGCCCACAGCGGTGGGGTGGCCGCTGCCCTCGCACAAGACCCTCCCCCTGGCGGCCTGGTGAGGTGCTGCGTCGCTCGCCCCGACGCCCTCCCTGTAAGCCCGAGCGAGGCCCACCGCGGTGGGCTGGCCGATGCCCTCGCACATGGAGCTGCCGAAGGCGGCCTGGAGAGGTGCCGCGATGCTCGCCCCATCGCCCCCCCTGCATGCCCGAGCGGGGCCCGCGGGCATGGGGTGGCCGAGGCCCTCGCGCATGGAGCGGCAGGCGGCCGCGCTGAGAGGGGCCGCGATGCTCGCCCTGACGCCCTCCCTGTATGGCCATTGCAAGAAGTCTATCAAGCGACTTCTTCGAGGGATCCTCGCTGCGTCCCACGTCCTGCGGCTGGAGGCGGTCTCCATAACATGGATGGCGAGGCCGACCCGTTTGAGGATCTCGACAGGATGCTGGATGACCAGGACCAGGACATGTACGTGGCGCCCGCTTGGTCGACAACGTCACTGGACGTGGCGGAAAACTTATGCGCCCAGGTGCCTGGAACCAGCATGGATGGAGAATGTGCCCCGTCAGATGGGCCCACCGATGATCTGGGCGACAGTGGCGCACCTGAGCCCCAGCCTGCACCTGCAGCTAGTGGAGAGGACCCCGATCAGGTTGCGGCCCAGCGCAGGCAGGAGATCATTCGACGTGAGCTTCAACGGCACACGCGGCACTGGATTGGCGACCCTCGGAGCGAGCAGCAGACGGAGCAGGAGGTCACGGAGGACTGGATGGAGTGGTGCGTGCCCTACGCCGCGGAGCAGCTGCAGGACCCCGCTGTTCACCCTCTCTGGGACGGAGGAGGCTGGGAGGAGGCTCTGCCACGCGATGCGCGCCGTTGGCAACGCGCTCGAGAGATGTGCGAGGCGGCTTATCGTGCTGGAGCTCGCAGCCGCGACCGTTATCGTGCCCACCTTCGGCGGCCACGCGACCAGTCGGAGGTGGACTGGACAGAGGCCGTGGACATGCACCTTCGCGCCTTCGAGCAGCACCGAGGGTGGATGGCCCGACGCTCAGGCGATCGGGCGGGCAGAGCCCCCCCGCCTCGACCCCTTGGCGCTGCCAGAGGCATGGTGTTAGAAGGGGTGCAGCACTACAAGCGTGTCAAAGGCCTGGCCACCGCCCTGCTGGAGTTCGAGGGCTTCTGCGCACGAGTTGGCAAGCAAACGCACATACTGGAGCAGCTTGATCGCGGCGCCCGAGAGCTCTTACAAACCGGTGCCGTGATGCTTAGGGCTAGCTCGCTGAAGGTCCAAGCCCAGGTCATCATCGCCAAGGCCAAGCAACTCTCCACGGACGCGGAGAACAAGTGCACCAAGGCCTGGACTGACTGGGCGAAGGACGCCTTTGTTGGGGGCGCAGGTTTGGCTCACCGTTTCGCCAAGCCCAAGCAGGAGGTGGAGATCCCCAGAGAGAACAAGAGCGGCCACCCAAGCGACCTGGCAGACACCGAGCTCCAGGACTGGAAGGCCATATGGGAGTACCACAAGCTCGGGGAGGTCCCGCTGCCTGCAGAGGCCCAGTCCTGGCCTGAGCTGCCACGCCTATCGACATGGGACCTCGGGCAGGCCATCCGCACGTTTAAGCTGGGTACAGCAGTCGGCCAGACAGGGTTCCAGCCGAGGCACCTCGACGCTCTCTCGAACCAAGCGCTGCTGGCCCTGTCTCTCCTGTTCCACGCCTGCGAGCACCACCTTGGCTGGCCGCCGCAGCGCCTCGCCACGGTGCTGGTCCGCCTCCCGAAGGCGGGAGGAGGCATGAGACTGATCGGCTTGCTAAACACGATCATGCGCCTCTGGAGCCGTGCCCGCCGCCCGCTGGCTGCCCAGTGGGAGGCCACCCACCGAGAGGAGCATGCCTGGGGGCTCGGACCAGGGAGGAGTTCGTCAGCCTCGGCCTTCTCGCACAACATCACTTCAGAGATCGCTCTCGCTCGGAAGCTGGACGTCATCACGCTGATGGTGGATCTTCTCAAATGCTTCGAGATGGTGGCGCCCGAAGTTTTGGTTCGAGAGGCGACGGAGGTCAACTTCCCGCCAAGGCTGGTATGGCTTCTCATCCAGCTCTATCGGCAGCCACGCGTCGTTCGAGCACACGGCAGCAACAGCGATTTCTTCATCTCCTTCCAAGGCATCGTGGCAGGATGCTCTCAGGCGACGACACTACTGGCTGTACTCATGCACGGGTCCATGCTGAGAATGAGCGCGCTGTGCCCGTCGCTCAAGCCTAGGCAGTTGGTTGATGACGTCTCCCTCCAGTGGACTGGGCATGCCAAGCACTGCGCGAACGAGCTGGGCGAGGGCATCGATCAGCTCAAGTTCGAGCTCCAGGGCCTCCAGCTGCCCATTCAGATCAAGAAGCTTGGCTACGTCGCCGCTTCCAGCCGTGGCAGCAAGGCCTTCCGCTCGGCGGCGCGAGCCAGGCAGGTCGCGGGCTTGCCGTGGATTCGGAACCTTGGCCATGAGCTAGCAGGCCCCAAAGTGCGACGGCAACAATAGGCAGCACGACTACAGCAGCTTCGAGGACGGGTGCGACGCACTCTCATACTCAAGAAAGCGGTGGGGGCCAGCCGTATCACGCGGATCCAGGCCGCTGGGATCACGCCGTCCGTCACACATGGGGCATCGGTCAGCGGGGTCTCAGACGCGGTGCTCAAGCCGATCCGCTCGATCGCTGCGCTGCTGGCAGGAGTGCGCCCGACGGGGAGCATATGCATGGGCATGCCCTTGCAGGACCAGCCCCACTACGATCCACTGTATGCGGCGACCATTAACATCGTCTTCATGTACGCGAGCATGCTGCGGGAAGGTCGACTGGGAATGCAAGCCCTCGGAGACGCTTGGGAGTTTGTCAACGGGCAGATGAGCGCTCAGCCTAGCTGGAGCCGTGTACGTGGCCCACTCGGGGCGTTGTGGCTCACCTTGCATCGGATCGGCTGGCGGCTTGCCTCATCGACAAGCTTCGAGTCCGACCTTGGCACCGTCCTCGACCTGAACCAGATGGCGCCCAGAGACGTACGTGACCAGGTCGTCCAGGGGGTCACGCGCTGGCTGTTGGCGCGCGCCGAGAGCCACATCGAGACACACAATGGCGAGCAGTTCTGGCACCGCGGCATCAGGAGGTGCGTGGAGAAAGCAGTTCGGGACCCTTCCGAACGCGGCTCGCTGCAGTGTGTCTGGACTGACGCGATGTGGCCACGACAGAAAAAGTACGAGAAGCGTTTGGTTGACTGTGGTAAGTGCCTGGCATGTGGTGCTGAGCGTGAGACAAACGGCCATCGTCTGTACAAATGCCCCGCTCTCCTGGACCCCGCCCTTCACGAGACGGCCCCGTCGGAAGCGATTCTCAAGACCCGTGAGCGTCTAGATCGCCTGGCTTGGGAGTCGGCCCAGGACGATCCTCGTGAGTCTGTGCAGCTTGCGTGCGCTATCCCGCTACAGCCCCCTGCCCCCGAGAGACCTCCCTGGTGTCCCGATTTCGTGCGCCATTGGGGAGAGGCCGAAATTCCGTGGGGCGGTAGGCTGTATATCGATGGTGGCGGTTTCGGCATGGATACTCCAGAGATCGCTCGTTGCTCCTGGGCCGTTGTACAGTTGCGAGACGACGGCTGGCCCTGTAAGGCGATTTTCGGCTCTCTCCCAGGAGCGCAGACAGTGGCGAGGGCTGAAAGATATGCGGGACTCGTCGCCACCTGCCTCTCCCCACAGGTGTCGTGTTTGATTTCTGATCATTTAAGTTTTGTGGAGGAAGGGCAGCGGTGGAGCCCTAGGGACGCGTCCGCGTCGGCTCGCCACGCTGCACCTTGGAGAGCGCTACGGGCCACTGTTGCCCGCCAAGACAGGAGGCCGCCCTCGTTCGGATGGGTTCCCTCGCATAAATCCCTGGCCCAGGCTATTGAGATCAACCTTGACCTCCAGGACTGGCTTGGGAACAGTTGGGCTGACCTGGTTGCTAGTGTTGCCCTGGACTTAGCCAGCCCAGCTAAGAGCCTGGTCCGTAACATCAAGATCCGTATGGAGGAGGCCTGTCTTAATGCTAAATTCGCTGCCTGGGCGGCTGCTCGCGCGGCTGGTTCGGGGGGTTGGGATCCCGCGGATGCCGACCCGAGGCCTCCTCCGCCCGTCACGGCGCCCAGGTCGCTTTCGTTTGTGGCACACGAGTTTGCGGAGCTCCCTGGAGGGGGTATCCGTTGCCTGGCCTGCAACCGTGTGGCACGCACGGCGGAGACCAGGCGATGCCTAGAATCTTACCCATGTGTGCCATCTCACCTGGCCAGGCTCCGTGCCCAGGCGGCCATGCAGGCCGAGGGGGTCAGCCCCGCCCCTCCTCGCCCCTCCCCCGCGGTTGCCCTAGCCTTGGCCGCTGCTGCCGCCGCCGCCGCCGCGTCGACCCCGTTGGAGAGAGGTGTGCCTGACCCTGGCAGGAGTGGCAGCCGCTCGCCGAGACGGCAAGGTGACGGCCCCTCCTCCTCGGCGGCTCCGCTCAGGTCACGCAGCAGGCTCGAAGGCACGCAGTCGGCCCATGCGTTTTTCGGGCTGGATCTTTCCGCTCGCGCTCGCACCCCGACTGAGCCCTCGACCCCAACTGGAGTCACGAGGGCCTCGGCCGTTGAGGCCGCCCCCTCCGAGCGCCCCGAGCACGGCCCTTCCGACGAGGATCGTCGGGCTCGGATTGCAGCCCGTCTCCTTAGTGCAGCTAGGGGCGCACCTGCTGCCGCAGCCTCTGCCCACCTGTCCTCCACCCCTGAGTCCCTCTCGGGAGGTTTGCTGGAGGCCCCCCTGGAGGACCAGGAGGAAGGAGAGGGCAGGGAGGGCGAGCCGACGTGCGAGGGGGCGGCTGGGAGGGCGGGGGACCGAGCGATGCGAACGCGGGCGACCAGCCCCACTCCGCCAACGGCGGAGCCAGCGACGCCCCCGCCACTGACGGCGGCCCCTGCTGCGCCGCGGGCCCCGCGGGTGCGGGGCCAGGCAGCCCGCAGCCGCGCCGCCGCTGCCGCGGCCGCCGAGGAGGAAGGCGGGGGTACGGGCGGTGGGGCGGGGGTCTCTTACGAGCGGGGACACGAGATCGTCTCCGCCCCGCCTTTCACCTTTTGTCGCAAATGCGGGTATCTCTCGGGTAGGCAGCAGGCGCGCGGTTTGCTGGTCGAGTGCACGGGGCCCCTGCCTGCATCAAGTCAGCGCACCTCCCCCGCCCTCCGCGAGAGGGCTCGCCGTCGGGATAGGCTCCTCCACGGCCTTAATCCTTACACGGGCGAAGCCCTGCAAGTTCCTGTCGAAGTGAGAGTGTCTTCTCGTCCTTGGCCCTGGCCTCCGCGGGGTCGGAGGCGCCTTGTTTTCGGTGATCTGGGGATTGCCTGCTTTCGGTTTCTGGTCAGGCCCAGAGGCTCCTAAGCGGCCCATGTGGGCCCGTTGGCACAGGCCACGGTCAGTTGCTCTGATGTTGCTGGACGTGCGCTCTTGATGGCCCGACACACACACACAGACACAGACACAGACACAGACACAGACACAGACACAGACACTGACACACACACACACACACACGCACGCACGCACGCACGCACGCACGCACGCACGCACGCACGCACGCACACACACACACACACACACACACACACACACACACACACACACACACACACACACCCCCCCCCCCCCCCCCACAACACACACGCACGCACGCACGCACGCACGCACGCACGCACGCAAACACACAGACAGAGACACAGACACAAACACACACACACACATCCACACCCACACCCACACGCACACGCACACGCACACACGCACACACGCACACACGCACACACGCACACACAGCACACATACGCACACATACGCACACACCAGCGAACACACACACACAGATATTCACACACGTTCGCACACAGTCACACTCACGCTCACTCACACAGACACACGCACACAATCATTGCATGCAGATGCACATCTATATAGTAGATGGGAATGGGTCTGGGACAGTAGGAGTGCAGAGCGAGGCGTGAGGGCATAGCAAGCAAACAGTTACCAGAGGCCCAGTAAAAAGTAAAACGCATAAATATATCTAGAGAGAGAGAGAGATGTTGGCAATAGCGAGAGAGAGAGAGAGGGAGAGAGAGAGAGAGAGGGAGATAAAGAAACCGAGACAGAGAGAGAGAGATAAACAAACAACAAGAGAAGGCAAACTTGGAGTGCGTGCGGACAACCACGGACACCCACTGGTCGGGGCATCTCTCTGGTGTTATGCACAATACAACAACGAAGCTCCTTGAGGAACTGGGGTGTGGTCCCCGGAGTACGTAGAGGGTGGTGCCCAAGGGAATGGGCGAGGGAAGCAGCATCGCCATCATGCCTGCACAGAGTAAGTTCGAACCCGCTGCGGAGCCGTAGCTGGTTGAAGGGTATATGATATGTTGTCGGCAAGTGCTTGACGACAATTGGCCCACCAAGAAAGCTTTACTGGACAAATGCTGCGAGCGCTGGGGGGCCGCAAGTCGAGCGGTGTGCGCGTTGTAACACGGGAGGCTAGACGAGACAGCCAAGCGAGCCCTCGGCGCGCCCGTGCGGAGCGCGCCAGACACACGAGCGCTGGACGTGCACCGCGCGAGCGCCCCCACCCCCACCCGGACCATGTGGAATATGTGCCCAGCGGTCGCCCTCGTCTTCTTCCTCCGCCTCCGCATACGCCTCCGCCTCCGCCTCCTCCAACTCATATTATGTTTACTCTTCTTCCTTCTCCTCCCCCTTCCTTCCTCCCTCCCTCATTCCCTCCCTCCCTCCCTCCCGCATCCCTCCTCCCTCCCTCCCTCCCTCCTTCCCTCCCTCCCCCCCTCCCTCCCTCCTCCTCCCTCCCTCCCCTCCTCCTCCCTCTCCTCCTCCTCCTCCTCCTCCTCCTCCTGCTCCTCCTCCTCCTCCTGCCCCTCCTCCTCCTCCTCCTCCTCCTCCTCCTCCTCCTCCTCCTCCTCTTTCTCCTCCTCCTGTGGGTACTGTGGGTGCATAGAGGCGGAGTCACACACTGTGCAACTACACCTGGGACACTGGCCCAGAAAACAGTTACAGTCGAGAACAAAACTCCCCCAACGCCGAGCCGCTGACCAGTTGGACGAGATGAATTCGACAAGTGGTAGAGGGTAGCCTACCTGCAAGTAGGACACGCTTCTCTTTACTTTTGCTAGGCTCACACTGTGACCTCAGCTTTAAGGCCTTCTGGGTCCCGGATTTTCCGCAGCGGGAACAGAACAAAACAGGGAACCCAGACTCAACCACGTACGCCAGCTGAAGGGCGTGTCCACAATGGCCAGGTTCCTTAAGAACCTCCAAGAGGGAAGGGTTGAGGCCTATGCATGGGGTCTTTGTGAGCGGTGAGACCGATCTCAGACATACAGAGCATCGCCAATGATCTATGTGCCAGTGAGGGATGCGTGGGGCAGTCGGAGGCCTCTTCGCGCGGGGGCCCACAAATCCCTTCTCAAGCACACCGAACAGGTCAGCGGGGGGGGCCATAGGGCAAGGCCTTTCCTCCTCCTCCCCCTCCTCCTCCTCCTCCCCCTCCTCTCCTCCCCTCCCCCCCCTCCCCCTCCCCTCCCGCTCCCGCTCCCCCTCCCCCTCCACCTCCTCCTCCCCCTCCACCTCCTCCTCCTCCTCCTCCTCCTCCTCCTCCTCCTCCTCCTCCTCCTCCTCCTCCTCCTCCTCCTCCTCCTCCCCCACACCTCCTCCTCCTCCTCCTCCTCCTCCTCCTCCTCCTCCTCCTCCTCCTCCTCCTCCTCCTCCTCCTCCTCCTCCTCCTCCGCCTCCGCCTGCTCCTTCTTCCTCCACCCTCTGCCATTGGGCCGCAGAGCGCTTTGCAGATGGTAGAAATGATCCACGTGTGCCTCGCGGCCCCGGGTGACGTCACACCAGCTTGGGAGCCCAAGGACTGCCTGGCCCAGCGGTCTTGGCGATGTGGGCGGGACCCTGCCTGGCTGCGGACGTGGGCGCGGCACGGCTGACACCCGTCGGGGGACCCAGAGGCGGAGTGCGGTCACGGCGGCGCCGCCAGGACGAAGCATGTGCGAAGGGGAAACTGGCTCAGTGGGGGGACATTGACCTGGAGCCGGCGACAGGCCCCAGGGCCCCAGGGGGGTCAAGGGAGACTGGAATAACCACACTGTCCTGCCGAAGGAGTCAGCAATGTGCGATTGTGAATACCGCGGTTGTGAGTGGAGCTCCCTCTGGAGCGACGAACCCAATGAATGGTGTCGGAAGAGGTGCTGAGGACGCATGCGAGCACTGCCATTGGGGCCATCGGTGGAGCTTCCTATAGGGTCGCGGGACGTGTCACGGGTGTGACGGTGTGCCGTAATGGGTGCGGGGGGCGCATGCGAGAGACGCTACTGGGACCTTCGGTGGAGCTCCCTATGGGGCCACGAAATGTGTGAGATGTGCGGGGACGCATGTGAACGGTGCCAGTGGGACCTTCGGTGGAACTCCCTATGGGACCTCGAAACGTGTGAGGGGTGTGCCGAAATGGGTGCGGGGACGCATGCGAATGGTGCCATCGGGACCTTCGGTGGAGCTACCACGAAACGTGTGAGGAGTCATTGGTGGCGGTGACGCATGCGAACGGTGCCCAATGGAACCTTCGGTGGAACTCCCTATGGGACCTCGAAGCGTGTGAGGGGTGTGCCGTAGTGGGTGCGGGGGACGCATGCGAGCACTGCCATTGGGGCCTTGGGTGGAGCTCCCACGAAACGTGTAAGGGACGTGCCGGAAGGGGTGGCGGGGACGCATGCGAAAGACGCCACTGGGACCTTGAGAGGAGCTACCTCTGGGGCCACGAAGCGTGTGGGGTGTGTGCCGTAATGGGTGCGGGGGACGCATGCGAGAGACGCCACTGGGACCCTGGGTGCAGCCTCCCATGGGACCACGAAACGTGCGGGGTGTGTGCCGTGATGGGTGCGGGGGTCGCATGCGAGAGACGCTACTGGGGCCTGATGTGGATCTCCCTATGGGGCCACGAAACGTGCGAGGGATGTGCCGGAAGCGGTGGCGGGGACGCATGCGACAAACGCCACTGGCACCCTCGGTGCAGCTCCATATGGGGCCTCGAAACGAGTGAGGAGGATGCCGAAAAGGGTGACGGGGACGCATGCGCACAGTGCCACTGGGACCTTCGGTGCAGCTCCCTGTGGGGCTACGAAGCGTGTGATGGGTGTGCTAAGCGTGTGAGGGGTGTGCCGAAACCGTTGTTATGTGGAGAGCGGAGGTAGGGATGGGAAGAGGGAGGAGGGGGAGGAGGGAGGGAGCGGGAGGAGAAGGATGCGGGGCGCTGTCTCTTCAAAACGAGGGCCCAACACCACAGGATGGTCGGGAAAACCCGCACAGACCTTAAGTTGCGGAGGTTCGCGCGGATTTCTTGGATCGGCAGTGGACCTCCCTCCCTGGCGCGCGGGGGCGCCGCCGGACGGAGGCGCCGCCATGGGTGCCGAGCGCCGATCCAAGATGTCCGCGCGGAGCTCCGAGAATCTATGTTTATGCGGGTTCTTACAAGTTACAGGTGGTGGAAATACGACGCCGGCGGGGGAAAGAGCATAACAATCTGGTGGACACGTGCACACACATGCGCGCGCTGTGACGATGCAGACGCAGACCAGCGCATGAGCACCCGCTGTAGCAGGACATGCCGCATGGGCACAGACACTGGTGCACACTCATACACACGTCGCGCGCGAATAAAGAACACCACTTGGCATGACGAGAGACGAGAGGGGAAGATGAAGTGGAGAGGGGGGAGCACCCAATGAGGTAGAGCAGCGTCCACGTCAGAACCTGGTTCAGACCTCGATCCAGCGCCGCGTGGGGTGCGGCTCACTTAACGAGTCGATGACTTCCCCGCCCAGCTAATTAGGAATCGACCTCCTCCTCCTCCTCCTCCCCCTCCTCGTGTTCTTCCTACCTCCCTCACTCACTACCTCCCTTGACCTCTTTGTCCCTCACCCCCTGTGTGTGTGTGTGTCCTGCCCTCTCCCCTCCTCCTCTCACGAGCGGCGAACATATATCCGCATCCGCGCCCTCGCGGCCGCACGGAGACGCTCTGCGAGGGGCCTCCGCGAAACAACGCCCCGTGTCCCGCGGGTTCGCGGCCCAGGGGCACAGCCCGCGAGGCTGCGGATACGGATCCGTTACATGTGTTTCGCCCATGGTTCTCCCCCTCCTTCTCTTCCTCGCGCCTGCCTCCTCCCCAGATATCCAGCTGCTTCAATTTGCTCGATGCGTGGGCCCAGGAAGCCCGGACCACTTCCCCGGGGCCGGTCCTTCGTCCTGAGCCGTTCTCTTGTGGGCTTGCAGGGCTTTGAGGGCCTCCAGAGACCGAAAACAACCAAAAACCGCCTGCTCCAATGTTTGTCAATTGGAATGTTGGATCTCCATGTCCCTCTCCTCCTGCGTCCTGCCTCCAGCCTCCCTGTCGCCCAAGTCGTCGGTTATGTTGCATCCTCGGGGAACCTCGTCTGTCCCGACGCGGCCCTATCCACGTCGAATCCGTGTCGAATCATCCATGTCGGACTTCTCGGATCCGTGTCGAACCCGTATCGAGCCCGCGCCGCATCCACGCCAAATCCGCGTCGAGTCCGCATCCAGCCCGCGTCGGACACAAGAAAAAACACCAATCTTGGGGACAAGCAAGGCCCCCCGAAGATGCAACGTAAGCGGCCGAGGGGCAGCAAGCTGTATGGACGTCAGCTTTCGCAGGCTCTGGCAGACTCGGCGGGTCCGCGCTGGATCCCCCTCCCCTCACCCCTGGCGGTACCTGTGGTGGCGGTGGATCCCCCTCCCCTCATCTCCCCTCACCCTCCCCCCACCCCTGGCGATGCATCGGCGATGCATCGGCGACGTTGACGTGGAGAAAAACTGCCTCCACACCGAGCCGCATCGGCGATGCAGGGCGATCTTCCGACCCCATCTACTCGGACCCCATCTACTCGGACCCCACCCGGGAGGCCTAGAAGAAGACGCGAGAGCTTCCGAGAAGCCGTGCCGCCCTCTGAGGTTACACGCAAGAGTGCCCCTAGGCAACAGTGACCCTTCGTGCGCGGATGCGGGGGGCGCAGGGCGGCCAAATCAGAAAGGGCACAGGCAGCCACCATCGCATCGCGCTCAGCGATCGGGGGGGGGACCCTGGCGAGCCCGCACTGAAGGCCACTCCGGCGCAGGGCCACTCTCACGCGCCGTCGCACTTCCCCCCTGGGCTCGCCGCCGACCGACGTTGCCCCTGAGCCGCAGCCGAGGCGCGGGCGGGGTCGCCGTGGGCGGGTGGTGCATCCGGCGCGCGGCGGAGCACAGGCTGCCGACCGACTTGGCTGGGGGCGCGGACGGGCGGAGGGGCAGCCGCTTGGCGCGAGGGGCCGTGGCGTGCCTCCGCGAGGGGCCGAGGCCCTGTTTCCGAGGGGGGGGGTGCAAGGTGCGCGTCGTCCTCTGCCGCTCCTGCGGGGTCAGGGCGCCGATTGCGCACACACGCACACACACACACGCCCACATGCCCTCACGCCCACGCACACACGCCTACACGCCCACACGCCCACATGCACACACCCGCACACACCCACACACACACCCGCACACACACACACGCGCACACACAAACACAAAACACATACACACAAATACACACACAGGACACATACATACACGACACACACGGAGACACACAGAGACACACACAGACATGCAGACACACACACACACATACACACGCACACACACACACGCAACAACACCAACAACACCACCAACAACAATAACAATAACAACGACAATGACAACAACAATACAGACACACAGACACACACACACACACACGCACACACACACACACACACACGCACACGCACGCACGCACGCCCACACGCACGCCCACACGCACGCCCACACGCACGCCCACACGCCCGCACACGCCCGCACACGCCCGAACACACCTGCACACACCCGCACCTACCCGCACACACCCGCACACGCCCGCACACACATACACACATACGCACACACAAACACACAAACACACCCGCACGCACACAACCACACAGAAACAAACACACACACACACACTCGCCCACACGCCCACACCAGCCCACACCCGCACATACCATACCCGCACACACCCGAACAAGCCCGCACACACCGGCACACACCCGCACACACCAACAAACACCCGCACACACCCGCACACACCCGCACCTACCCGCACGCCCCCCCCCCACACACACACACACACATGCACACACACACACCAACACACATACACACACTCACACTCACGCACGCACGCACGCACGCACGCACACACGCACACGCACACATACAACACACACACAACACACACACACATACACACATACCCACGCACGCACGCACGCACGCACGCACAAACACACACACACACACGCACACACACACACCCGCACACACACAACACACACACACACAAATACACACACACACACCCGCGCACACCCGCACATACACACGGACATACGAGTGGAGCACACGGACACGTACACGCACACGCATACACACACATACACACCTACACACAAACACGCCACACACACGACACACAACACACAATAGAAACACAACACAGACGACACACAATACGCACAACACACAGCGCAAACAGCACACACACCACAACACACACGCACTTCACACACAAAACCCACTACACACAGCACACACCACACACACACACACCACACACACAACACTCACACACACGATCCACACACAACACACATAACACACAACACACACACAACACACACAACACACAACACACACAACACACAACACACAACACAGATCACACACAACGCACACACAATACACAACCACACCCACAACACGCACACACAACACACACCACATACACACAACACTCAATACACACAACACACACCACACTCAACACATACACAGACCACACAAAACGCGCAACACAGAGACAACACGCACACACACACACAACGCACGTTCACAACGCACACACACAACACAAACACACACCACACACACAACAGACACACACACACAACACACACTGCACATAACACACACAACACATACACGTACCACACACAGACAACTCACATACAGGACACATACAACACACATACAGCATACAACACACACACACAACACACAATACACACAAACACACACACACACACACCCACACCCATACCCACACCCGCACCTACACACACCACACACACACACGGACACGTACGCGCACACGCACATACACACACACACACACACGCACACATTATCACCGTTTGTCTTGAAAACGTCAAACCACCGAGCAAAATATCCGCGAACGGGTCCGTGAAATATCCCTGGCGACCCCTTGGGTCCTGACGCCAGCGCCTCGCTCGAGACATGCTCACAATGTGCGAGTCTGAATGCGAGTAGGTCTGAGTGTCGGTAAGTCTGAGTCTGAGCGTGAGGGGATATGACTGTGAGTGGTCTTGTGTGAGTGGGTCCGTGTGTGAGTGAGTCTGAATGTGAGTCTGGGAGTGAGTGAGTCTGGGTGAGGATGAATCTGAATGTGAGTGAGCCTGGATATGAGTGCGTCGGAATATGAGTGAGTCTGAGTTTGAGTGAGTTTGAGTGTGAGTGAGCTTGAGTGTGAGTGAGTCTAGATGTGAGTGAGGAGGGAAGGGGAGGGAGGCGAACTCGTCACACGAATACAATTAAACACATACTTAGGATATGGGGACAAGCGGAACCAATTGGAAGCACGCCAGAAGTAATTACAATGGCATCGAAGACATTGCAAGCACGTGCAGGGAAGCCAAAATACATGCACAAAATACATGCAGTCGAGCAGATGCAGATGATGGAAATCAGCGACAGACACTGAAAGCGTTTGGTGGGAACTGGGAGCACGTGGCGGGCTCAGAAGCAATGAACCAACAAAAGTGACAATTCTTGAGGAGAAGGAACAAAAATCGCCGGCCCCCTTGCGGGGCCACCAGGCTGTAGGACGAAGGTTTGCTGTTCCCTGCGCCAGTTCCAGTTTCCGGTTTCCCATGTTACAGTTCTGCTTCTTGCTGCTTACTGTTCCTTGTTAATGGACCGCGCGAGGGGGAGGGAGCCGAGAGGGAACCTAGTAACTAGTTGCCACGCCCGAATCGGGTGCTCTCAATTCCTGAGGGGGGTCGAAACTGACACCCCTCGCGCAGATCGGCGGGGTCAGGGTTAAACATGATGGACCCACGAACCCGGAAAGGGATATAGACATGCGCAGCATGGTCACGTTTTCACGACACCCAACTGGGCGACACCTCACAAAACATCCCACGAGACACCCCGCGAAACATCCCACGAGACACCTCGCGAAACATTCCACGAGACACCTCGCGAAACGTTCCACGAGACACCCCGCGAAACATTCCACGAGACACCCCACGAAACATTCCACGAGACACCCCACGAAACATTCCACGAGACACCCCACGAAACATTCCACGGGGGTGCGACTGGGTGTGGTCGTGCTGGGGTGTGGTCTTGCTGGGGTGTGGTCGTGCTGGGGGGGTGGTCGTGCTGGGGGGTGGTCGTGCTGGGGCGTGGTCGTGCTGGGGCGTGGTCGTGCTGGGGCGTGGTCGTGCTGGGGTGTGGTCGTGCTGTGGTGAGGTCGTGCTGGGGTGGTCCGCACCCTGTGATTTAGCAACGAGAGGGCGAATCTATAGGCACATACGTAACAAAACAAGCGTTTCGCTCGAGACATCCTCGGCAAACTCTGCGGAGCAAGCGTTTCGCTCGAGACATCCTCAACACACGAAAAAGTGGCCCGCACCCTGTGATTTATCGATCGGGATTTCAAAAACAAGCGTTTCGCCTGAGACATCCTCAAATTTTAATCCGCCGGCCTCCTTCGACCTCGATATTTATCAGGGAAAGAATCCGCCGGCCTCCTTCAAGTTGAGCACGGGGGACATTGTTTACATACTAAAAGAGAACCCTGGGCATTTGCCCTTTCCGGGAAAAATCACAAAATATTTGCCACATTTCTTAAATTCAGCGGCACCCCTCACGCAGATCGGCGGGGTCAGGGTCCAAAACACAAGGTATTTGCCACATTTCTCAAATTCGGCGGCACCCCTCACGCAGATCGGCGGGGTCAGGGTCAAACAAACACATGGGATTTGCAACATTTCAATACTTCGTAGAGAAGCTTTTGCACAGCATACGCGAGCAAGCTTGAAATACAACACCGAATTCAACAATATCATCAGGATCTCAATTTGTCTTGCCGGTTACTCATCGTCTTCACGTGAAATCCCGACGCGTCTTCACGGCGGCGCCAAGGCCTCATGATTTCGCGCTTGCATTACCCATTATCCGAGAAAAGGGGCCGGCAGCAGGGGGCGAAGCCCTTACGGATAATCAACGGCCTAAACATGAACTGTTGGCGCTCCGCGCGGATGTCTTGGACCTGCGCTGGACCCTGGGACAACTGACAACTAGGAGGGTAGCGGCATGTTGGCTTCCTTGAAGTCGTTCCTGGGAGCCCGTGATTGAAGACGAAGCCAGGGCGAGGAGAACTTCGGGTGAAGACAAATCGACAACTTAACTGCCCCGATACGCAATACGCAACACGTATCGTATTGATAGGAAGCTCAATACGTAGGCAGAAAACGCAGGTCCGACGCGATACATTCGCCAAAACGTGGTCCAAAACGTGGAGCCAACACGTAACGTATTGACGCGGACGTCATCAACACGGGACGTGTTGCGTTTCAAAACGGACGTATCGAGGCGAATAAGATCGACAATCTTCGAAATCTGGCGGCTCTGGAAGATGCTCTCGGGCGCCGCGACCTTCTCAGAGTGTTCCGGAACGCTCTGAGAGCGTTCCAGAACGCCCCGAAACGGATGTATCCTCGTCCTGGCCTCAGGTCGGGCATGTCCCCGTACAGGCGGATTTTGAGCGAAAAATGAAAAATACCCCAGCAATGCGCCAAATCGTCCCCAACAAAATCGTCCCCAACAATTTTTTGAACTATTTTAGAATATTCCTCCTGTAGAGGGACAGACCCAACTTAATCCTGGCCCCCTCCGATGATTGGTCTCCGGGACAATCACGCAAGGATTCGGGACGACTAACTGCATCCAGAGAGGAGAGCTAGCCTCAAGACGAGGAGCCGGCACAAGCAGAAGCTTTCGGAGGCTTGCGCGTGTGGATTGGATCGACGGTGGGATTCCCACCCTGGCGCGTGGAGCGCGCCAGGAGCGGCGCCGCAAGGCGGGCCCAGCGCCGATCCAAGATGGGCAAGCCCGATCTGGGTAGAAAGAACATGGGCACGATGCCCAACAGCAAATGTTGTCCCAAACCGACTGCGGCCGCTTTTGGGCAGGCACCCCTGCGTCTGAATTGAGTAGCGCCCGCCCGCAGCGAAACCGACAGCGAAGCCTGCTCAAACTGGTCAAAAACTGCCCCCCTTCTGTGCGATTCCGGTTTGATCGTACCGGCCAGAGATCCGCGCGGACTCCGAACACTTCTGTCCATGCCGATTTTCGTCTTCGTCGTGGGCCAGCTCGGCCAGCGGGTTCCCGAGCACAATCCAAACTTGTAACTACATTGTTTATTGAACCATTCACTCTGGACACGGGCGCCGTCTTCAAGAGGCATTCCGTGACATGCGTACCCTGCCGTTGCAAAACCATGACTGTATATCAGAGTGAAGGGGCCGAACGGTTATTCACTGTCCCTGGGAGCGTGGCTGAAATGGGATTCCGCGATGCGGACTATTGTTGATATTGCTGTTGTTGCTATTGTTGTTGTTTTGATGTCATTGTTGTTGTTGTTGCTACTGCTGCTGTTGTTGAACTCTCATTCTTGAAGAATAATTATTGTTGATCCCCCCCCACCGGTGCACATTGATTTTTTTCGATTGAAGTGCCACCCCCGGGGCTCGCACCTTGTTTTTTCTCAAAGAAAGTCTTCCTGCTCAAACTGTGCCCCTGCCCCCCGGGCTACAACAACAACGGCTCCCGCCTGAGACTTCCTCGATTTTTACTCAGGACCCCCGCTCCCGCCTGAGACTTCCGCGCAATTTACTCAGGAAAGGCGCTCCCGTCTGAGACTTCCTCGCAATGTAATCAAGACCCCCGCTCCCGCCTGAGACTTCCGTGCAATTTACGTGGGAACGGCGCTCCCGCCTGAGACTTCTTCGAATTTTACTCAGGACCCCCGCTCCTGCCTGACATTTCCGCGCAATTGACTCAGGAACGGCGCTCCCGCCTGAGACTTCCTCGCAATTTAGTGAGGACCCCCGCTCCCGCCTGAGACTTCCGTGCAATTTGCTCAGGAACGGCGCTCCCGCTTGAGACTTCCTCGCAACTTAGTCAGGGCCCCCGCTTCCGCCTGAGATTTCCTCACAATGTACTCAGGACTGCGCTCTCGCGTGCGACGTCCTCACAAATTATTCTGGAATTGCGTTTCGGCGCTCAGGAACCACGCACGCGCCAAGGACGCCTTCACAACGTGGTATCTTCCCTCTTCCTTCGTCCTTCCCCCTCCCCTTCCTCCCACTCTCCCTCGTTCTTCCCCTCCTCCTCTTGCAGGGCCCGCGCCAATTCCAATGGCGGGCAGAGAGATGTACGCCCCCGAAGGATTGTCCGCCCGTTCCGGTTTGCCCGTACGTCTAAGCCCGCCGGCCCCAGCAAAGAGAAATAATCCCCCCGAAAGGGGTGTGATCGAAGACGAAGAGGGCGGGCATCGAGGGTGTAGGGTATACGTGTTGAATGACTCGCGGGCAAGTAAGAGCGTACAGCCTTAAAATGGTTGTTGATGTTGTTGTTGTTGTTGTTGTTGTTGTTGTTGTTGTTGTTGTTGTTGTTGTTGTTTGGTTGTTGTTGCTGTTTGTTGTTGTTGGTACTGTCGTTGAACTCTCACTACTCCGGTGACCTTTGCGCTTTTCAATGGAAGTGCTTCCCCCGTGGCTCGCACCCGGTTTTTTATAAGGGAGAGTCACGGGACTCAAACTGCAGGGGCCCCGGTTTACAACAACAACAACAAAAACAACAACGGCGCCCGCCAGATATTTCCTCACAGTGTATTGCCACATCGCGCTCTCGCGCAGGAACTCCTCGCAATGTATGCACGCATCGCGCTCTCGCGTGGGACTTCCTCGTAATTTATTTAAACGATGCGCCCTCGGCGCCAAGGAATGCGCCCCGACCTGCCAGCTATGGGCCTGCCCACCCGATCTGCCCATCTGGTTCTACCACTTGTTATCTACTCCTTGCCCCCTCCT